GAATATCAGAAGGCTAAAGAATATCACGAGAAAGCACTTGCTATCGCAACAGAATTTGGCGACAGGGGAGGAGAAAGAGTATGCTACGGGAACCTTGGAAATGTGTTTCTATCTCTCGGTGAATATCAGAAGGCTAAAGAATATCATGAGAATGCACTTGCTATCGAAACAGAAATTGGCGCCAGGGAAGGAGAAGGGACATGCTACGGGAACCTTGGATGTGTGTTTGAATCACTCGGTGAATATCAGAAGGCTAAAGAATATCACGAGAAAGCACTTGCTATCGCAACAGAAATTGGCGCCAGGGAAAGAGAAAAGACGTGCTACGGGAACCTTGGAGATTTGTTTCTATCTCTCGGTGAATATCAGAAGGCTAAAGAATATTGCGAGAAAGCAATTGTTATCGCAACACAAATTGGCGACAGGAAAGGAGAAGGAACACAGTACGGAAACCTTGGATGTGTGTTTGTATCACTCGGTGAATATCAGAAGGCTGAAGAATATCACGAGAAAGCACTTGTTATCGCAACACAAATTGGCGACAGGAAAGGAGAAGGAACACAGTACGGGAACCTGGGAGCTCTGTTTGATTCACTCGGTGAATATCAGAAGGCTAAAGAATGTTACGAGAAAGCACTTGCTATCGTAACAGAAATTGGCGACAGGAAAGGAGAAGGGAGATGCTGCGTGAACCTTGGAGGTGTGTTTCTATCACTTCGTAAAAATAAGGCGGCTAAGGAACATTTTGACAAAGCCCTTACCATCAGTACAGAAACTGGCGAAAGAAAGTGTGAAGGATGGTGCTACGCAGGCCTTGCAGATCTGTTTTATTCGTTTCATGACTATCAGAAGGCTACAGAACTATACGAAAAACTGCTAACTATCAGCATAAACGTTGGTGATAAGAGCGGACAGGGATTGAGTTACCTAAGACTTGGACATGTTTCTCTATCGCTTGGAAATTATGACCAATCGGAGAAATTCTTTGACAAAGCGCGCTCGATGAGCAGCAAAATTGGAGACAATATGATTTACTTTGAGAGCCTCCTCGGTATTACTCGAGTAAAGATGTCGCAATCAAAGTTAGAGGATGCAATGCAGTATCTTCGTCAAAGTATTGAAATTTATGAAAAGTTGCGAAATTTTCTCAAAGG